CCTTAGCAGATTTCACTCTGGAAGCAGCAACATAAAGCTGACCATGACTAAACACAGGCTTTGGTAAAAATATTCCAACATGATCCATAGTTTGACCTTGACTCTTGTTGTTCGTCATCGCATAACAAATTCACAATGGAAACTGTCTCCTTTTCAACATGAAAGGCCACCTCACATCGGAAACCGTCAAAACTATTCGTGGAATAGTAACAAATGAGTTCTGAAAACTCCTCCTATAATAATACTTTAACGACGTTAGCCGTGAGATAAGTAATCATGATACGTGTCCCGTTGCATAGTCCTGCAGTTGGGTTTAGATTTCGTAGTAGCATGAAAGGTACAAACACTTAAGCTCCAAACGATGCTCCGGAAGACCATTAAACGACAAAGAATTCAGAAACTCATCAGGGTATACAATATCAAGCTGGTCACTTTTTGTAGATGCTCCCGTCAAAGAGTCTATGCTAAAATACGTTTTGGCGACGGATGGAACCATCGCTAGCATATACTCGTTAATATCCGTCACCGTTCGGTTTGTTGGTGTCACTATAGCATGGTTGTTCAAATAACTTGCATTCCGAAAGTTATGGAGGAAATCTTCGTATATTTCGTTGCACATGCTTGCGACAGGACTGTCCGTAAATGACACGAGGAAAAATTCTGGAACTATAGACTTGAGCCGTACCATCTCCCAAAGACAACACCGAATCAGAGAAACACATACCGTTGAATATAGTTTCCATACTGATAGGATCAGTGTTGATGCGCATGTTCTGGCGTAGGCAAAGAAGATGACAATGATCCCATAAGATGGACTTAGTAATCGAGGTAGAGATTGTATCGTCACGCCCCGCACAAGGCACCATGGTAAAGTTTGTCGGAAATCACCACCCAAAACAATAGTTTTACCTCCAAGGGCTTATAGTCTGGACCAGCAAGAGGAACTTCCATAAGATCATAAATAAGCCTCTCAACAGCTTCAAATGATAGTCGATGCATCATTGGAGCTTCATCCCAAATGATTAAAGAGGCTTGTTGTACGAGCTCAGCCAAATGTGTGCCCTTCTTAATCAAGCATGTCGATGAAGGATCAATCTCAACCGGTATCTTGAATTGTGAATGGGCTGTTATTCCTGAAGGCAACAAGGTAGCGCAATCCCGAAGAAGCGACGACCAAAACAATACGACTCATACTATGCAATTTTGATATTATAACATTACAAAGAAATTCTTTCCAGTTCCCCCATATCCATAGAGGAAAAAAAATCTGCCAGCATTCGAATCAATGAAGACATAATAGTAGACAATGCAGACATCTGCTCAACATTGAGAGACCCCATCGCACTCTCACACTCTCTAGCCTCTTTGTTAACATCATAGTCCAAATGTTCAGCAACCAATCGGTTGAAATCGTGGTGATGTCTACCAAGATCGGGCAAAGGCAAATTGAATCGGGATAAAGTCGACGAATGATTCTGTAGAAGCTCGTCCAAATCCTTTAGAACTTCATTCCTTAAGAAATCGTTAGGAAGCTCTAGATGGGGCATCCTATGATCTGATCTAGCACTATATAAATAATCATCGGACATTAAACTCCAATGCTTCTCAAATAGAGACTTCCCATTCTCTATCTCACAGTATATTAGTGAAGACACAAACAAAGACCTCAATAATTTAGGATGTCCCCACGAAGGAACCTCCTCCATAACGGAGTCCCATTCTGTATTGTTACCAAACAAACCCAGTACTTCAACAGCTTTCTCGTAATTACTGTAAACGATCATGTGAACTGTTCGCATATCCTCGAAACTTGTAGCACCCTTAACCCTCGTGAGTAGCAAACGCATGAAAAATACGTCACCTTACCAGGGTGTATATACACGATTCTACCTATTGTCGTTCCTATTTTCCTTTTTGTCCATAATTTGTTAGGTTCATTCCACACATAGTGTTCGGGTGTTTCAGAATAAGTATAATTTCGAGAATCTGAATCCAAACGATTAAGAACAAACTACTGCGTCAGAGTAGTCTTACCAGTCTGACTTTCTTTCATTATTGACTCCAGCGAACGTTCCGGGTCGTATGATACAGACTGCTGACCGGACAGATGCATAGACAAACGTTGGACCGAGGGAGACCTGTCATGGATGGAATATTCAAATAATCTCCAAACCGCCTCACATGCGGACAAAGAACGACAATCCAAATATTGTTGTATTTCATCACGTACTGTCAACGATGAATCCGTGGAAGTAGGCGGATCCTGAGATCTTTTGTCTGCAATCATCATAGATCTATCAGGACCCTTGGTTACGTACTTGAACAAATATTTAACCAATCTCCCCTGATGACACACTTCAACGTTAATATGAGCCTGAAATTTCACGAGTAATCGTCGATTATAAGGGACCATGCAATTATTGCCAAGCAATATCCCTGACTTATCAATCGTTACACCTGTGTTCCTCATCGATATATAGCATACCCATGCTTATCAAAATACGTATGCTCATTGTAGTCCTTAGGAAAATATTTGGTGCACCTTGTTTTCTCTCATGCACGGACACTTTGGATTGGCATGACCACAGGGACCATGAACCATAAACTTTTTGACGGCTTCGTATCCCACGGGATCCAATTCTGGATTAGGAATCTCGGCAGAAATATTGAACACACGAGCTATAATTTGTGAATATCTTCCTTGAGGATCTTCAGCTTCATATTGAACACACGAGCTATAATTTGTGGCTTTTCGTCTCCCTTAGAACCAAGGACAGAAGTGAAAGCATCGGTTATCTCATGCCACTGTGCATTGCAAGTGAACGTAATAAAGAGATTGGTGTTTCCTGAGAATGAACATGTGTGAGTAATATAGTTACCAACCTACTATAATAAAAATATACATAGGAAAAGTATACCATAAAAATCATAAATATTAAAGGAATACACCATCGCAAATTTCAACACTCACCAAAATACTGGCATATGGCCATTGCATCTAAATATAGTTGCTTCATATATCGAGGACTTCCAATATAGGTTGCTGGCAAAATCACACTGCCCAAATTCTTAGCATCGAGATCACCTTTACTAAATGCATCATGCAATCCCTTATATAATTCTGTCCTAAGTTGCTTTTGACGATTCCATCGAAAAGTGAGCCTGTTCTGCTCCATCGTGGCGAATGCATCAACACAGTATTGCTGAAAAGCCCTTCTACCATGGAGAAGAGTGTGTTGACACGCCAAAACACAACACCAAACTGCAACCAAGTGGAATCGCAGTCCGGGAATGCAGTAACAGGCAAGTTTAATTATCAACCCGGGGTCTAGATCTACTGCTTACTCCGTGATTCTCTATTATCTAGCAAACTAGTTCGAGTGATTGTTGTGAAAAGTAAAAGCAACAAGAAAGCAGTAAATTGTTCGGTTTTCTAAAGCAGGCAAGAGTCACTCGGGATTGAGTCCCCCTAGCCCCTTAGTTAGGTTCAATTGCAATTCCCTGGGTTGATTTACTGTTGATTAGACTGCGGAAGATCCGACAGTAGCTTGGAATCTCTTAAGTTGACCAAGCCCTCTCAGTCTAACTACCCGGCAGACGACTAGTCTTCACCGGGATAGAAAGCTGAGGCTATGAACACAGAACTCCACTACTGGCGCCAAGAACACCAGTACAAAGCAGTAAACTGGCTAACTCTCGTATAGCCAATCTCCTACTATCGAATGAAGAGGCTCTAACAACCTAATCAGATTCTATCTATCTCAGGTTGCAGCAGAAATTGAGAAAAGCTGATCAGACTCAAATCAATTCATTAAACATGCGTCATTCGATTAAAATCAAATAGTAATATCATCCCAAGTCATTACAATCAAATCCCTAACACAAGGAGCTAGGGTTCTTCATACCCAAGTGAGAGAAGGGTTCTACTCCATAGAGAGAGAAGAGAAAACAAGAATCGGATTAGTCATACTCATAACGATGAGGATAATCTACTCCGGGACGATGATTTTCACTCCTATGACGATCTCCAAGCTCGATTCGATGAAATCCAGCTCTAAGACAGCTTCTAGGGTGCGTTCTTCGTACTTTCTCTCTCTAGGGCTCTGTTTTTGCTCTGAAAACACGATTCTCCCACTTTTCGCTCGGAATAGGCTCTAAAACCAGGAATTCCCGACTCGCACGGCCAGGGTGCACGGCCGTGCAGATCACCCACTTGGCCGTGCACTCCAAAACGCGGCGTATCAATTAGTTCGACATCAGGCTTCTCGCACGGCCAGGGTGCACGGCCGTGCAATCTTCAGGGTCTGCCCGTGCATGGCCTCGGCATAAAGCGCACGGCCATCTTGCTCACGTGCACGGCCGTGCAGCCTCCCTGGTCTGCCCGTGCAGCTCCCCAAAAACCTCGCCATTCGTCCGTTCTTCGTCCAAACGACCCCAGACTCGCTCCTAAGCCTTCATTCACGTACTAGGACCTGAAATATCACAAACAAGCACAACCTAGCGTGAAATCGGCCTAAAACACGAGAATCAACACCTCAAACGGTGTAAGAATGGGGGTAAAAACATTTGTAAATGACGGTCTATCAAACTCCCACACACTTAACCGTTTGCTTGTCCCCAAGCAAACCAAGTCAGACACTAGGTAAGCTTACATATTTCAATCAACCAACATTGGGGACAAGTCATAAAGGCACAGAACACGTGAATCGCACTGGTTTTCAAACATCAATACATGCACAACCTCAATAACAACCTGGACAACCACCACAAAGGACATTCGAGTGCAGCAAATCGAGTAAAGGAAGAGTCTCCCTACTGTTCACTGGCCAACCTAGACTTGATTCAACCACTTACTCAAAACAGTCAACTCATGCATCCAACTCAAGACATCAGAATAGAGACCGAGCAATCTAGGTCCTCACCGGGGTACAAGAGCATATAGAAAATGAAAATGAATCACTCACTCTCGACCAGTGGGGTCAGGACAATTTGATGCGAAAGATGCGCATGCTATTTCTCTCAATCCCTATCATCTCTTCACCATGATGGCAGCCTCTAAATGCTAGAGTTCACATATGGGGTGTCACCACTAACTAATCAGGAGGTCTTAGACACAGGTTCAAATGACTGGCTAGGGTCTTGGACATGGGGAAAAGGCCTTTTAGGTGGTGGAAGTATTCATAGCAAAAGGTTCCACATTCTCCAAACACACAATCACCGTCAAACAAACCGGTATTTTCTTTCTGCTATTCTGCATTACTCAATATCTTAAGAGCACAAGAGCGAAGGAGGCATAAACATCAGCATTTCCAAGCCAGACTGCTAAGAAACACTACTTACTGGGCATTATTCAGATTTTTGGTAGTGGCTCTCTTTTGCTTTCAATTTGTTTCTTTGTTTCACTTTCATTTTTCTTTTCATTTCCTAAGAGAGCCACCACTTCTGCATAAACTTCAAACACCTGCCCAACTTTTAAGCACTACCTCCAACACTCACATAGACTTTAGCAGAAACAGCAGAGAATATATAAAAACCACTCTGTGGAACCTTCTAAAAGATGCAACAAGGGTGATTTTTTTCCATTATAGACCAAAAGAAAGGATAACACACGGCTCAAAG